TTTTTTAAGAGGGAACAGCTGACAGCCGAAAGCTAAATCTAACATTTACACATGACTTCATTACCCTGCTAAAATAAATGACTCAAAGTGGTGAAACCCATCAAAACTGGAGCTTTGGCACGGGACATCAAAAGTGAGGGCCCCGGTTCCCTCTCCCACGTCACCCTGTCTCCTCTGTGACCACACTTCAGTGTGTTTTCAGTATCTCACAGGGCCAGCCCATCATGTGCCACATCCCATCCTTAAACACAGGTTTTTCCTGGGATTGACAGCACAGAGTGAGCTGTGGATGCAGCAGGTGAGTGGAGACAGCTCCAGGAGAATCACAGCCTCTGGCACAGCAGGCATCAGCAGGCTGGGGTGGTTTGAACCCTGAATTTCTTTACGTCCTTCAGGTGCTTCTCACATGTAGGAGTATTTGCCTGGGTAAGAGGCCTGAGTATATATGAGGAAGCAGGGATAACATGGTGAGTTCTAGCAATATCCAGGAGATCATTAAAGTCTAGTGAAGCAAGTAATGAAAATGGGAAGGTAGAGAGGGCCAAAGGAAATGGAGGCAAAGGCAGGTTGTGTGGGAGAAAAGTGAGAGATGGGTGAGGACAGCTGTGGAGGGTAGGATAGGGGAAGTGTGAGAAGGGAATAGAGGAAGGGCAGAGCATGGCTAGCAGTCACTGGCCAGCTGAGACATCCATTCCTGGTGTTGTTGTTGGTTACCCACCATGGGGGTTTGACTCAAGGGCTGGTCATGGCCACTCCTCATTGCTCCTCTCTTGTGTGGCTGGGAGAGGCCTTGTGGTGAGCTGGAATAGTAACCAGTTTGGGGGGAAAATCCAATAATTGCTTGTTTGGCCTTTGAATAAACAACTTCCCCATGTAGGCACAGAGTTCAAGTCCATGGACACCAGCACAAACACAAGCTAAAGGGCTGGGGGAGGGCCAGTACCCCATTTTGGCAGTAGAGCTGCTTTACAATAAATCAGGGTGATCTTGGAATTTGGCCTTAGAGACATGAGAGTTCTCCTCTGTGAGGGTGTTCTGGCTGAGTGATCTCCTTCTGAGCCTGGTCAGCTGACATAGAAGTCCATCCCATGAGGTGATGTGGGTCCTGCAGTTGTTCAGTGTTCCCTGAAAGGGAGAACCAGTGCAGATGTTAAGAAACAATCTCCCAGCATGAGGAGCACTGGAGGGATCACCAGCTCCTGACCCTAGGAACAGGTCAGAAGAAATTCATCCAGGCAGGTTGATCCCAGCAGGAAGTGGCACAGGTGATGGCTTTTGGTCCCTTCCAGCTGCAGTGACTGTGATTTGTTGAAGTTTGGCAACTGTAGTGACAATCATTGCCAAGTTAGGTTTGCTGCTGAGCTGAGCTTGAATCAATCAGTCTTCACCAAAAGCACCTAATGCCATCATGGAATCTGTAACTCCAAGAGGCACACATCCAGCAGCACAGGACCTGGCTGTGTGTCAGGTCTTGGTGTGTGGTGGGAGCCCCAGGTGCAGCAGAAGGTCAGGTGGCTGCTGCAGAGGGTAACGTGAGTAGAGGTGTGGTGTCAGAGCTGGGCACAGCTCAGCCCATGGCGTCATTATTAAAGATGTGTGTGCAGCTAACGAGGCTCAAATTGCCCAGTCTGGCTTGTGTCTCTGTGGATTAAATCCATAAATGGATATCATGGAATGTTGTCCAAGAAGGGCCAACTTCCTTTGTTCTTCTTTTTTACCCTCAAAGCTGACCCAGAGCACATCACCCTGGGGAAGGGTGGTTTCCATTTGCAGCCCTGGAGGAGCAGTGGTTTCCTCCAGCCTTTCATCCAGAGTTCCCACTGTGGAGGGAGAGGTCTGAGCTGGCTGGGGGTGCCAGGATGCCCTCTCACCTCCTGCCACTGTCTCTGCTCTCTGCTCTGGCACTGAGGTGACCTGGCCAGCCCTTCCCTGGCGTCCCATCCCTGGACATCAGGCTTCCGACGCTCCCCCCGGGCTGGGAGCTCACAGCCTGAGCTGCAACACCACTCAGCTTTTATAATCAAATAATCCCCATGTTTATGTCTTGCTGACTGACAGTGCTGCCCCTGACATATCATTATCAGGAATTTACATTCCTGCAGGAACTGCAAAATCCCCGACTCCCAAATCCAGAGCTTTCCTGTGGCACCAGAGGGAGAGGAAATAATCTGTGATCTTGAAACTTTCAGACCACTGAAGTAAACTCTCTTCCCTCCCTTTGTTTGATTTAGCACTTTGCAGACTCCCACAAGGGGATTCTTGGTTTCTTACGGGTTTATTTTATTTTGTCTTAATGTGTTGTGCTTTTTTTTCCTCACTCTTCCAGTGTCAGTCCTTTTGGGCTGTTTACCTCCTGCAGACTTGGGAAATCAGGAAAGGGAGGGCTGCACTCATCAGTCAAGGGCAGGAAGGTGCTGGGGGTCTCACCAGGGTGCCAGGTGGGGCTAGCACATGTGCTGGAGCTGGCCAGGATCATATGGTGGTGGTGACAATCTAGCTGGGACAGACTGTTCCCAGGGCTCAAGCTGCTCCAGTGGGTCAGACCTGAGGTCTTGGTGCTGTGAAATGCTAGGTATACCCAGAACTTTGGGAAAAACAGAGCTTCTCTCCACTTGGAACAGGAAAGACAATGTCTTAGGCAATGGGTCTTGTCCATTCTCACCGCACTGAAGTCCTGACTCCTGGTGTCCCCTGTGCCTTGCCTGCACTGCTCTGTTCCCGTCTCTGTCCCTCCAGGAAGGCTCACCTGATCCTGAGGAGGCTGGAGAAGGTGAGCAGCCACTGCTCGACGCTGCTGCGCAGTGCCTACATCCAGAGCCGCACCGAGACCATGCCCTACCTGTTCTGCCGCAGCGAGGAGGTGCGGCCGCCCGGCATGGTGTGGTACAGCATCCTAAAGGACACCAAAGTCACCTGCGAGGAGAAGATGGTCTCCATGCTGCGCAACACCTACGGGGAGTCCAAGGGGCGGTGAGGGAAGGAGCGGGCCTGGAGCTGTGGGAGGCAAAGGGACTCCCAGGAGTCGAGGACTCGTGATATGCTGAGTGGCTGGTGGGGTTTGGGGTCGGGTGATGTTCAGAGGGGGTGGAAGGGGACAGCGAGGCCAAACAGGACTTTCTCACACAGACGGCAGAGAAACAAGAAACGAGCAAGTTGGACTTTAATTTCTTTTCCTTTTTTTTTTTTTTTTAATTTTTCAAGAGGAAAAAAAAAAAAAAAAAAAAAAAAAAAAAAAGAAATTACCTAATTTGACTCAGCATAAAAGCCTCTCCTTTTTAATCTTTTCTTACTGAATTTCCTGGACTACACGCTCCAAAACCCTGGGAGGAGGAGATACCCACTCGAGGCCAGGGCCAGGCAGAGGGGAGTTTCTGGGTGCAGGGTGATCCCCTCCCTGCCTGCCCTGCCACCGGGCAGCAGCAGTGGGGCGAGGGGCCCCGTGCCGTGGTGGCCGAGGACGCCGGGCCAGGAGGAGGTGGCGCGGGTGGCCGGTGACACCGCGCTGCCAGCGAGGGTCCCGGGGCAGGGGGCCAGGCGGGTGCCCGGGACGCTGCAGGCAAGCTGGGCTTTTGTACCGCTCCGAGTGGACGGGGTGGCTCCGGGTGCAGCCTTCGTTCACAAGGCTCCCGGCAGCTTGTTCTGTGCATTAAAGATTCATATTAAGTCCATCTTTGCTGCCTCCTTGGTGTTTCTTCCTGACGCGGTCTCACCTCTGCTTGGGCGTCCTTGGGGGTTTCAGTTCTGGATGTGGCACTCCTGAGATGTGGCTGAGATGAGGGAGCCCAAAGTGGATGCATAGAAAGGAGGGAAACGTGCAGCCTTTTGCACGGGGTCCTCCCCTCCTCAACACCCAGCGTAGCCACTGGTCCCAGTGGGAGCTGGAAGTGTGTGGGAAAGCCCAAGAAGAAAGCCAAGGGCTAAAAAGACATGGAGAATCTGGTTTCTTTTACTGTCAGATGTGGGTTAGGCTGGCCCAGGCTCCCTGTGGGTAATGGATTTCTCAGCCTGGTAGCCAAACCAAAAAGTGCGGGAGGGTGAGAGGGGAAAAATAAAAAAATCAGATCAGCTCAAAGCTATTGCTTTTTCATTTTTAAAGCAGAACAACAAACCTGGAGAGGGAAGAGAGAAGAGTGTGGGTTGAATGAATCAGATTAATCAGCCCAAAGCAAATAGTTTTGTTTAGTTTTTCAGGTTAGTTAACCCTTTAACATCAAATCAAACAAACAGAGGCGAGTTTCAAATAAAAAAATATTTTCAAAACAAGCAACGGTGTACAATTTGATGTAGAGAACGTTCAGCCAGAGACCTTTTTCTTCTTGAGCTAAACCTATTTGCCTGATTTGCACCCACTCAAATAATTCTGTCTGTTCCTTCCAAACTGCTCTCTTTCTCCCCCCTCTTTGGTTATGTCTCTTCATTTGATCCACATTCATGTGCTTTGGGAAGGACTCCAGCACCTGGTCGAAGTCCTGCTGGAGGTCTCAGAAAATTTTCTGTGACATTGCAGCCTGTAAGACAAGCTCCAAAGCATTGCAGGTTGCCTGAGGTCTTAATTTTTAATCTAAATCCCTTTTCCTGATGGAGAGAGGAGGATGACACTGAGAGCTCTGGGTTATGTCTATGTGTCTGTCACTGAGGGTCATACCACACTGAAAACAAAGACCAAGGGGGACCATGACACCACCATGTGTTAAAATCTGAGTGCCCAGCACTGCTGCTGCCTCATCACCATCCCTTTGCCCTTTGGGGTTGATTGATGGCCTTGGAGTTTGGTTGTGGGGATGAAGATGACCATGATTTGTTGCAGTCAAATGAAGACTTTGCATTTGCCTGGTTGGAGCTGCAACAACACACAGCAGCAGCCTTGAAATGCCAATGTGGTGGTGCCTGGCCAGTGCCCAGACCAGTGTCAGATCGAGCTGCCCGTTTCATGTGCTGCCAGGACACAGTGTGTGCACTTTGGGGGGGGTGAAAAACCCCCAAATCTGTCTTTGGAGCCACTGATGCAAAGTGACTGGGCGTGAGTACCACAGTACAAGAAAGATCCAAAACCACTGGAGAATGTCCAAAGCAGGGGCACAAATATGGTGAAGATGGGTGGAAGCCATACAAGTAGAAGCTGAGGTCACTTTGTTTGTTCAGTCTAGAGAAGAGGAGACTGAGGGGAAATGATATCACATTTTGCAGCTTCCTCACAAAGGCCAATGGAGGTGCAGGCACTGATCTCTCCTCTCAGGTGACCAGGGACAGTTCCTGAGGGAATGGCTGGAGCTGGGCCAGGGCAGGCTCAGGCTGGATCTCAGGGCAAGGTTCTTCCCCCAGAGGGTGCTGGGCACTGCCCAGGCTCCCCAGGGAATGGGCACGGCCCCGAGGCTGCCAGAGCTCCAGGAGCGTTTGGACAGCGCTGCCAGGGATGGACAGGCTGGGATTGTTGGGGGGTCTGGGCAGGGACAGGGGCTGGACTCTGGTCCTTTTGGGTCCCTTCCCACTCAGGATATTCCATGATTCTGTGACTCTATGATCATCCCCTCCTGACATCTGCAGAGCAGACAGTGGCTGTGCTGCCTGCAGGACAGGTCCCCCTGGTCCCTGGGCAGGACACGGCACAGCCAGGGCTGCCAGGACCGGCAGCAGCCGCAGGGAGCTTGGCTGGCCCGTCCTGTCCCTGCTGCTCACCGGCTGCAGCTCCAGGTGCTTTGAAGCTGTCTTGTTTTCTCAAGGCTCTGGCCCACAGCTGTGCCGTTCCCTGTACTTTATAAACACAGGGGTTTATTTTGTTTTTGTTTGCTTGGCTCGGGGATGATTCATTTCTCTTGGAAGCCCCTTGCAGCACACGGCGATGGGGAGCAGCTCTGTGGTCTCGCTGCAGGCAAGAGCCGGTGTTGACCAACCTGAGGGACAAATTGCCTGTGTTTTCTGTAAGTGACTGGACTTGAGGTGTGACAGGGATAATGCTGCCCCTGGGACTCCTCTCCATTGTGAGTATGCTGCTAGGTGTTAGGAACAGGAGATGCCAGCCAAAATACAAGGCAGCTGGCTGGCTGGCTGGCTGCCCCTCAGCATGTTTTTCTCCACTCTGACACTGCAAGCTCCCCCACAGTGGTGTTTTTTGCACCTGGGGTGCCCCTCCCTCACAGAGCTCCGGGGGAAGGACAGAGCTGCAGCATGGGGATGTTTTGTTCCAGATGGTGATGGAAAGGAGACCTTCAGCTCTGGTAGCAATGACTGAGAGCACAGCAGGAGCAGCACAGGGACAGGCTGGTTGTCCCCTGGATCCACACTGCAGCTGTGTCCATGGCAGAGGCTTAGTTTGCTTATTTTGGAAAGCTGCAGAGGAGCTGTGCTTTGCATCCGTGGTGAGACTGGCTGCTTGTATGAGTACATGTACAGAGTGAGTTGTGTGTGAGCCTGTGTTAATATGTACAGAGCAGGTGGAATAGTCTAGACTCTGGGCTGCAGAGTTTCATGGCCATTAACCTGTCGTGAAGCACACCTAGCTCCCAGATCAAAGCCAGGAGAGCCTCTGGCCAGTGATGCTACCCGGCACAGGACACCCAAGCCAAACAAAACGGAGGAATTCGTCGAGGTTACACATCCTCCAGCACACAGCTGAAAGGAAGGGTCTGTATTTTCTCCCTGGAAACTTTGGAGAATGTAACCCTCTGGCTTTCAAGATAAACACTTGTAGTCATAGCCCAGCAATGCTGGCAGATGGACCTGTGCCCTATCGTGTACACACACACACACACACACACACACACACACATACACAGACCCCTGCCACTCCTCTGACTCCCTCGGGGAAAAGGAATCCCAGCTCCAAAGCAGCTCCAGGAGCTGATTCGTTTTGCCATCCAATACCCTGACTTGGCTGTGCCTGGGCTTTGGCAGGGGTGATGCTGTCCTGGGTGGGAGAGTACCAAGGTGTGGATGAAACATGAAAAGCCAGTGAGGAGAGGGGCAAAAAGATGCCATCCTCCATGTTTAGTGGATAAACTACCCACATCCATTTGAAAAGCTGAAATTATTTCCCTAATAACATTGCTGGGAAGAGTAACTTGGCTTCAGTGGCCCCTGGATGGATGCTTTAGGATGAGTTAAGGTCAAAAGGAGAAACTTTCTCCGTGTGTCTTTGCAGTGAGTGTATGTGCAGGTACCATTGATAGAGCAGCCATGGGTGCATCCCGCACAGCCTGGCCCTACTTCCCCATCCATGCACCCCATAAACTCCAACTCAGCATGGCCAGAGGGCTTCCCTGCAGAGAAACCTTTAACAAGCATTCACTGCCACTTCCAGCATCCTGTGGGAGTCCCACTGGGCACATACATACCAAAGCTGCCACTTGTCTGGCAGCCCAGAGCTGGTGACAGCTGCAGGTCCCCTCCCAGGGCTGCGTGGGGCTGTTCCCTCCGGAGGAGCCTGAACAATCCCCATTGTCCCCATTGTCCCCATGGCCATTGTTCCCCGCCCTGGTCCCGGCCGGGCTGCAGCTGGCAGGGCGCACAGAGGGGCCGATTGTTTGGGTTTGTGTGCTGCTGCTGACACACCACTTTGGGACAGCTTCTTCCCATGGCACAGGCCTCTGGAGTCAAGTGCTGCATTTTGCTCCTTTATTTATTTGTTTGGTTTCTGCTTTTCCTCTTTTCTTTTCTCTTCTTTTCTTTATTTTCTTTTCTTCTTTTCTCTTTTCTTTTCTTTTCTTTTCTTTTCTTTTCTTTTCTTTTCTTTTTAGTTTATTTTTTTTTTTTTTATTTCCTTGGTTGGAAGGGACTCTACTGAGGCTGGGGACAAAGCCAAGGGAGTGCCAGTGGCTGTGCTGTGTGGGCAGCCCAGGTCCTCACCAGCCTGGGAGGTTCCTGGGGACAAAGCCTTGCAGTGGCACTGGTGCTTAGCCATGGCAGTGCCCTGTGGTGCCACAGATGACTCAGTAACCTGCAAACTCATGCCTTGTTGCCCTGGGAGGATGTAAAACC